TGATGGTGGTGACTGAGGGTGGTGACAGTATGGTGGTGATGACAGTGATGGTGGTGACTGAGGGTGGTGACAGTATGGTGGTGATGACAGTGATGGTGGTGACTGAGGGTGGTGACAGTATGGTGGTGATGACAGTGATGGTGGTGACTGAGGGTGGTGACAGTATGGTGGTGATGACAGTGATTGACAGTGATGGTGATGGTGACAGTGATGGTGGTGATGACAGTGATGGTGGTGACTGAGCATGGTGACAGTGATGGTAATGGTGACAGTGATGGTGGTGATGATGATGGTGGTGACTGAGCATGGTGACAGTGATGGTGATGGTGACGATGACAGCAGCTAACATTTACTGAGCATTTGATTTGTGCTTAGTGCTGCTTCTCTAAGTTTCACATGTGCCCCCTCGTTTAATCCTTACAACGGTTTTGTTGGGTACGTGCTATTATGATCCCTATGTTACAGATGTGCGACCTCAGTGCAAATTGGGGCACAAAGAGGGGAAGTCATTCGCCCCAGGTTCCCCAGCTCGCACGTGGCCGGGGGGAGTGAAGCCCACACTGATGGTCTCCGCAGCCCCCCTGCTAGCTGCCAGGAAGGGGCTGGACTGCCCTGGGGGAGGCAGAGGGTGGGCAGTGTAGATGAGACATAGCGTCTGTTTTCGGGCTGTCAGAGCCAGTGGGCTGGTGGAGAGGCCTGGACACCATGGAGAGGGCTGGGATGGGGGTGATGATCCTCGTCAGTGTCCGAGGGGCCCCCCTCCATCCCTCCACTCTCCCGGCTGCCAGGGGACTTTCTGCCCCAGGAGGCCCTGCCTGACTCCTGCCTTTCCCATCGCCCTTTCTCTCCCTTCAGTGGTGAGCCTGTTCCCTCAGTGACTGGCATTCTGGCCCTGCCTGTCGGTATCACCAGGAGTCTGCCCCCCTCTCTGAAAGCCCCCACCTGCCCAGTGTCAATAGCAAGGGCTTCTCCCCGACCGCCGGTCCGACCAGGACAGGCTGCCCAAGGCCAGACGCTTGGGTTCTGGGCTCCTAAGCATGGTGGGTGGGGGAGGGCTGCAAGGGGGGTCTTCAGACCTTCCCAGTCTTCCCAGCTCCACTACTGAGCCCCACCCTAGTGACCCCATGCCCACATCCACGAGCTTCCTCATGCCCACCCCGGGGCCACACCCCCGGCCCTGCCAGCAGCGCTGTGGGCACAGAGATCCACATCAGAATGAGTCACCTGCTCCCTGGAGGTCTTCCCACCACTGTGCCTGGCCCACCCACCCCAGGCAAAGGAGCACGGGCCAGGAGAACCCACTCTGTGCCCAGTGAACGGGCACCCGGGCGCTTTCCTCACTGCTCACTACGGCGGCTTCTGGGAGCGCGACCGGAGAGGAGGGCCTCCCCGCACGCAGGACTGGGGCAGGGAAAGGCCACATCTGCCCGAGGAGGCGCTGCTGGTGGAGGGACCGCGGTGCCCGCGCCCCTGCAGCGCCCTCCCGCCCACGCCAGGCGCTGCCAACCTCTCCTGGCGCTCAGCTCTGAGGGTCAGGTCACCGCTGAAGAGGCCATAATGACTGTCAGCCTCGGGGCCAGGCACCGGCCTGCTGCCCCCACACCCGCAGGGAGATGTGGGGAGAGGCAGTCACCGCCTCCAGGGTGGCCTTGTCCCTCTGCAGGCCCCACCGTGCCCGACGCCAACCCCCAGATGGCTGCTGGGGGCACCCCTCTCTCCACCCTGCCTGCACCCGGGCCCAAGCGCTCCCAACCGGCTTTTCCTGTTCTGCTGTGTTGGTGAAAGCTCCCCAATTGTACCCGCATTATCTCAGCTGCTGGGCGAGCCTGGCAAGTGGGGGCTGGGGGCAGGGCAGGGAGTGCCCACCCCTGTTCTCCTGGGAGGGCCCAGGGCTTCCTGCTGGCCCCGCGCCATCGGCTAGGGCCCTGAGCTGTCCGGTCCGCTGACCAAACGGGGCTGGGCTACAGTTCAGGGAATCGAACAGTTAGGGCCGCTCGGGGAGAAGAAAGGGGGGCTCAGTGAGAGCTCCTGGTCAGGCCTCAGGCAGCTAAAGATGGAGCCGCTCGGACTCAGGCCTCCTCCCTGCTGTGGTGCTCCTCTGTCAGGTGCCCACCAGCCTCCAGGGATCTGCCAGGGACCGTTGGAACCCCACAGACTGACTGAGGACAGCTGGGGGTGGGGCTATAGATGCCCCGGTGGGTCTTGTGGACGTGCGGGCCGGGGAGAAGGGGGACCTCAGGGGAGCTCTCGGAGCGTGGCAGGGCCTGGTGTGGAGGGACCAGCAACTTTTAATCACAAGCATTTCCTGAGTCCCTGTGTGCCCAGCACAGGGCACAGCCTGTGGCCTCAGGAGTGCTGGCCGGTGCCCTCGTAAGGGGACAAGGGGCCAGCCCGCTTCCCTGACCCTGGCGTTGGGGCCTTCAGAGGACCTACGGGTGCCCCCATGCAGAGGCGGCACGGCCCACGCTCCTGCTGTGGAACCCCAGACCCCTCTGGAAACCCCTAGGCCAGTGACGGCGAACCTATGCCACGTGTGTCAGAGGTGACAGGCAAACTCATTTTTTTGGTTGATTTTTCTTTGTTAAATGACATTTAAATACATAAAATAAATATCAAAAACATGTCTTTGTTTTACTATGGTGGCAAATATCAAAAACTTTCTATATGTGACACGGCACCAGAGTTAAGTTAGTGTTTTTCAAAATGCTGACACGCCGAGCTCAAAAGGTTCGCCATCACTGCCTCGGCCGTGCTGTGTCCCTGGGTCCGTGCAGGGCCCGGCACTGGTGTTGGGGTGCGCTCGGTAAACTGGCCGAGGAGAAAGGTCGCAGGGACGTGCTGTGCACAGAGGCTCCGGCGCAGAGAGCGGACGGCACGCTCTAGAGGAGGCGGCTGCCCGGTCAGGGTAAGCCAAGTTCAGGGCTGAGGAAGCGCAAACAGAAGCCACTCTGATGGGACAGAACAGCGGGGGGGAGGCCATGGGGGTCTTTATTCAGTCCCACCGATCGCTCCCTCCTTCCTGCGAATCCCCACCTCTGCTTCCACGGTGACTTGTGAATAATTTTTTTATTGATTGGTCTCAGAGGCAGGAAGAGGGAGAGAGGTTTGTTGTCCCACTTATTGACGCGTTCACTGGTTGATTCTTGTATGTGCCCTGCCCAGGGGTGCCGCGTGCAGCCCCAGTGGGTTGGGCGATGCTGCAGCCAGTGGTGCTCCCCGGCCGGCTGATCTGGGAATCCTCTGTAGAACCAGTGTGCCGTGCGGGCGGGCGCTGGGCACAGGACACAGATGTGAAAGACACAGACCTGCTCTGGGCAAGTCAGTCTGGCGGAGGCGTCAGGGTGTGAGCAACCGCGTCACGAGGCAGAAAAGAGCTGTAATGGATGTGGCTGGGTTCCCAGCTGGAGGATCAGGGGGGCTTCCCAGAGGAGGTGGCCGAGTGGATTATCCAGGCAGGCCTTCTAGGAACTGCGTGAGTCGGAGGCAGGAAGTGTTGCATCTGCTCCTTGGGGCTGGGACTGAATTGCTCATATGATTCAAGTGCCGATAGTGGCCTCAGCACCTAGTGGCAGAATAAATGGGAGAAGGGAGGGAAACTCAGAAACCAGGCAAGTTCTAAAGGCCCCGCCTGCTTCTGCCTGCCCCGCTGGGTTGGGGTGGGGAGTGGGGGGTGGGGGAGCGCAGCTCTGCGGAGGAGAGAGCAGGAGCCCCCGGGGTGCTGTGTCCCCCAGCGCTGCCTGCCTCCTCAGGCCCTCATCCATCAGACCATTTGGTTCTCTGGCAGCCCTATGGGGTGGGGCCCATGGGTTATCTGCCCCATCTGCCAGAAGAGGGAACCCAGGTCCCGCAAGTGAAGCAGCCGGTGGCTCTCGGCTGGGCTGAGCGTATTCAACCCTCGTTGGAAATGGAAAATGAGCTCTGGCCGGTGTGGCACAGTGGATAGAGCATTGGCCTGCAGGCTGAGAGGTCCAGGGTTCTATTCCAGTCAAAGGCATGTATGTTGGTTGCAGGCTCCTCCCTGTCCCTGTGTCTCTACATCGATGTTTCTCTCTCTCTCTCTCCCCCTCCCTTCCACTCTCTCTAAAAATCAATGGAAAAATATCCTCGGCTGAGGATTAACCAAAAAACTAAAAAATGCGGGTGTGGACAGGTACTTGCTGCCGTGGAGCAATATTGACAACGTGGCCCCAGCTGTGGTGCTATGCTGGAAGGCAGCATAGGGAGCAACAGGCAAAGCATGGTCTTGATTTTGTGAAAAAAAGTAAATAGATGGGGGACAGCTGTAGAGAGGGAAGTGCGGGGCGTTCCCACAGGATTACCAGGCCTTTCTCAGTGGCGGGGTCATGGGTTCTCACTTTCTTCTCAATATTTTTCTTTTTTTCCTTTCTATATTTTTATTGATTTCAGAGAGGAAGGGAGAGGGGGAGAGAGATAGAAACATCAATGATGAGAGAGAATCATGGATTGGCTGCCTCCTGCATGCCCC